GCGCCTTCCGCGGGAGATGCGGGGCAGGAGCTGGCACCGGCGGCGGCGGCGGCAGCAGCTGGGCTCAGCGCCGACTGAGGTGAATGTCAAGGGGGAAAAAAAAGTTTTGACAGGAAGGGCCCGCCCACTGTCTCTCTCTTCCCCTCACACCGCCTGTGCAGCGGCCGCCTCGCTCGGCCATGGCTTCTAGATGGGTTTGAAGGGGGGGATGCCAGCTCTCTCGTGAACCACGGACTGTACCAGCCTTACGGGCGGCCCTTTGGCAAGGGGCTTGCAGGGTAGGGCAGGCAGCTAGCCATTTGGAAAGGGCGCGCGGGAGCGGGGGCCCTTTCCTCTATCCATCACCTCCCGTGATGGCGAGAAGGGAGATACAGTATTTCCTCTCCATTTTAAGGGCGGCTGTTGTTTGGGTGCAAGAGAATGGTCCAGCTGTCTTTTCCAGTTTGCCAAGTGAGAGGTGATAGAGCAGCAAGAAGACAGAAGCAACCCACAGGCAAAGCATATGTTAGGATAATATTTTTTGAGCTGGCCTAATAAGAGATCTTGCATAAAATGTCCAAAGTGTCTGTCAGTCAAGAAAGTTGACAAGGTGGATTTGTCCATTATTAAAGGCAGCAACTCATTTTTAGCCAACCAAATGCACAATGGAGTATTCTACCATTTGGAAAACTGCCATGTGCATTTTGAAGGGAAGTTGGGAAAATGTTTACATTGCTTATGTCTGCATTTTTGTATTGGGGTCTAATTATAACATGTTCCAGTAGGCATTTAATGGTGAGAACAAAACTGAAATGTGATGAAAGTCCTAAACTATACTGAAGCCACTTCCAGGAAAGAAGTAACAAACAGTCCATGTATAGTATCTTGCAAGGTATGGCACTTCATGCCTATGTATTTGGTGCTATGCAAGTGTACTGATAAGCCACAATCTGGTATGGATACCTCCTCCAAGGCTCTTCTTTGTGTCATCTTGTGGTTAGAGATGATTCAAAACAAGGCCTTTTTAGTAGCGGTACAACATTTTGGGAATACTTTTCCCCATTACATTTGCCAAGACTAGCTTGTATATCCTGATATTCTTTTAGGAGTAGGTAAAAATTTGTATTTATCCTGGTTTCTTAGACATGTTTTAATAGATGTTTCTCTTACTTCACCCCAACTTTAATTTGCTGTAACATCTGTTTGTTCCTATTTGTTTGCTTTTCAGGTCTTACTAATATTTCCATATGACACTGTAATGTCTCTCTTATGTATTACTAATGTAGCAAGCATCATGGCCTCTAGATAGCAAACATAAAATCAATAATTTCATTAAAATTGCATGGAAAGTGCTCTAATATCTATTCCCCGAATCTGCAGTTACAGTATACTGTAGTTCTATCCTTCATTTATTTTCCACTTGTCATTGGTAGAATTTTCATAAGGAGACACACATAATATGCTAAGATGGCTATTAGATTGTTCTGCATCTATTTGCTCCCCAGTCATGGCATTAGCACGTATACTGTGTTTCCCTGAAAATAAGACACGGTCTTAAATTAATTTTTGCTCCAAAAAACGCATTAGGGCTTATTTTCAGGGGATGTTTTGTTTTTTCATGTACAGCCATCTACATTTATTCAAATACAGTCATGTCATCTTCCGGTTGCTGCACAGTGGTGGAGGGTGGGGTTTCACTTAACTGGGGCTTTTTTTTAGGGTAGGGCTTATATTAGAGCATCCTGAAAAATCATACTAGGACTTATTTTCAGGTTAGGTCTTATTTTAGGAGAAACAGGGTAGCTTGGCAGCAAAACCTATAGAGAAGTATTTGCTAAATAATAAGCAATCACCTGTCTTCTTTAATGTCTTTTAAAAGCTGTGACAGAGCACCCAAATTGATGGAGAGCTAGATGCCATGGAAAGTTAACAGTTTCTTCCTATGCTGTTCTCCTGGTATAAATTACTCTCCCCACTTCAACTGGTATTTGTTCTACTAGGCAAACTTGTAGCATTAAATTGAAACCATAACAAAACTCATGAAATTCAGTGTACCCAGAAGCCAGACATAGGATTCCTTTTTCAACTTGAGCTGACAAAATGGAAGTGCCCATCACAGCATTCATAAGAATCTGGCAGCCAATATGCTCCATGCTTTTGTAACAGTACTGCTTCTAGTGTTCATGGTGAAATGTCTATAGAAAGCTTTGATTTCATTAATCAATCAAAATTTTAAAGCAGAGAGGCTTTAACCAAGGTATGTTTCACAAAGTCTCATAGATGAACTGGCATCCATCTGTGTAGCATTTTTGGTTTAAAATTACTCAATAGATTGTGTAGTTTGCCAAATTAGATATGAATCTTTGACATAATCTAGTAGATTAACTCATTTTTGCTCCTGAATTTCATATATTTACCATGCCCTGTTTTATTTATTGGGCAGAATTCCTTCTGAGATCAGATCAGATCACCAAGAACACAATTTTATGCATGCTTATTCAAAATTAAGTCCCAGGGGTTCAGTAGTACTTACTCCCAGGAATGTGTGTATAGGATTGCACAGTATTTGAATGAAAACAGGAATAACCTTCCAAGCATGATGATGACCATGGTTTGAATATACATGCTGCATTCGTAAGTATTTGTTTTATTTTTTAATTTAATTTTATTTATATCCCGCCTATCTAGTCAATTAAGACCACTCTAGGCGGCTTACAACAAAATGTAACGATATAATTAAAAATAATTTTATATAAGGGGAAAAACTTTGGACAAGATGGGACAGACACTAGGAAAAGGAGAGAGGGGGAAATCAGGAATTGGCTGAGGGGAAGGCCTGCCGAAACATCACTGTTTTTAGTTGTTTTTTAAAAATACCCAGCGAGGGAGCCGCGCAAATATCAGGGGGTAGGTTATTCCAGAGGCGGGGAGCCACCGCCGAGAAGGCCCGATTTCTTGTCTTTTCCTTCTGGGCCTCCCTCAGCATTAGGCTCCTCAGCCTCACCTCCTGGCTCGCGCGAGTGACACGGGTAGATCTTGGTGGAAGTAGGCGTTCCGCCAAGTATCGAGGCCCTAAACCGGTTAGGGCTTTTTACGTGAGCATCAACACTTTGAAGTCGATGCGGAATCAGATGGGCAGCCAATGCAATGTGGCCAGAGTGGGTGAAATGTATTGGTATTTTTTCACACCACTGAGAAGTCTGGCCGCAGCATTCTGCACCACCTGAAGTTTCCGCAGCAGCCTCAAAGGCAGCCTCACGTAGAGCGCGTTACAGTGGTCTAATCTTGAGATTACAAGCGCATGTACCAAGGTAGTGAGGGCCCCCACATCGAGATAGGGCCGCAGCTGGGCTATCCGCCTAAGATGGTAGAAGGCGGTTCGGACCACGGACACCACCTGGGATTCCATAGTGAGCGCCGGGTCCAGATGGATCCCCAAACTGCGGACCCCATCCTTGGCAGGGAGGGTCACCCCCCCCCAAAGAGAGGGAGTTTCCCAAACCCCCCACTGTGGGGACACCCACCCTTAGCACCTCTGTCTTCTCCTGGTTCAGCCTCAGCCCGTTCTCCTGCATCCATTGCAGTACGGTCCCCAGGCAGCGCTGAAGGAACAGAACGGCATCTCTTGCTGTAGATGGAAAGGAGATGTAGATCTGAGTGTCTTGGGCAGAGATTATTTTCTATGCAGTTTCATGGAAAAAAATCCACATACCTTCATAATTATCGTCGTCATCATCTTTGGAATTAACTGAAACCACTTACTGTACTTAGTTAGTTAGTCTATTAATTTTATGGTAACATTTGTGACAATCTGTCATGGTTCTTTCTATAGGTCTTTTCTTGATATTTAGTCATTTTCCTGATATTTAGCCAAACATGTGTCAGAGATAAATTCTTCTTTGACCATATTTAGCAAATTTTGAAGAGTCATCTTCATACCCTTCTATCAAACTTCTGATATCTGATTTCTGTGTCTGTCACTATCCATAATGAACAGTTTTTATAAAAAAAAGACCTTCACAATGGAGAAGCAAGACTTGCCCTGGGTATCACTCCAGAGTCTTGCCAAACTTTTTCTCAACTGTATAAAATACCCAGTATATATTCTTCTGCAGCTGGGTTATCCCTCTTGTGCAGTAAAATCTTGAGCAGGTCTATTAACAATTAAGCCCCCTTGAGTCAATGTGAATTACTCCAAGGTACATGTATATATAAGCAGCCTTAAGGATATATTTCATGCTTGGATATTTACTTATTTTGGTATTTTTATTTTTTCCTTTCCTTTGCTCCTGTATGGTAACAATTGTCTTTAGTTATTTGTTCAATAAATCAGCATTTTAAGTTTGCAGGTTCCTTCCTGATAATATTCAAAAATAGATCTTCCTTTTAGTCTCTGTCTGTGCTCAGTCCGTGGCTAACATTATGGTGCCCACAGTTTTTCTGCAAGCTGTACAGCAGTGCTAGAAAACAAAGAGGTTGGCCAAAAATGATGTGCTATTCTGGTATATGAGAATTATAAAACTCTCCTGAGTAAAGGTCAAAGCTGAGGAGGATTGCTGGGCAATACATTGCTGGGGAGGTGATATTTCCACTTCTACTATCTGTTTTCTCAACAACAGCAGTAGTTATGTCTACAGCCTTGTTCACAAATATGGTAGTCATTGCAAAATTAGGATTAAAACAGGTGGATTGTGCACCAGTATCAACAGGGATATGAAATGATGGAGATATTGGCTGCTATGTCCATGAATGTAAATACCTATTGTTTATTAGTATGATGATTTTTATTTCCTCAAACTTTCTATACTGCACAAATATAATTTGCCTGTCATCATATAGACCCATAAATATGACAGAAATTTATATCATGAATCATTAAATTCAGGCACTACTTCATCAAGTTACAGTTATTAACAAGCCCCATTTAGACTACACAA